TAAAAAAATTATAAACACCAAGTTACCTGAATTGGAAGTAATTCCGGTAATAGCAAAGAACAAGACCCACTATGCCAATAACGAGAAAAGGGAAATTCGAAACAACATTCAACGTATTGGGTATGCCTGACAATCAAACAATAAGCAAATTTCAGTGGCGGAGGTGCAAGAGAGAACCAATCTACAGACTCAGGAGCAGAAATGGAATAATAGTAATTGAAAACTAAGAGTTTCACGGGTAACTAAGAATTACAGACGGTAAGCAGTGTAGAAAGCATGCATAAACAAACCCTAAAACGGAAGTTCCAAAAGGGGGAAAACTTACCAAAGAACTGGCGTTTATCAGCGAAATCATGGTATTCTTGAGACTGAGGAATCGCGGGAGTGACGACCATGAGTAGTACGAAAGAGAGAATCGCAACTCCCCAGACGAAAACGGTGCGTTTCTCCATTGCTTCGCGTGAGAGATGGAGTCGTCTTCACTTTGAGGTTTCCGAAAAGCATCTGCTTTTATCCGGTCGGAAATACGTTGAACAGCTGACCGTTCATAAGTTGAATGTTTTGACTTTCTGATCAAAAGACAAATTATTAAAATCTGGTTTCTATACGAAGCCTCTTTTGGGCTTTTTAGTTTTAAATTCCTCCTTTTTATACGATTACTTCAAATTCTTAAACTTAAAATGCACAATGTGATCAAAAGACAGAAATTGTTTGTGACTAGCATTTTAATTTCAAAGTCTTTATACACTTGAAAATAATTTTATCGGATAAATTAATTATTTTTCTAATGTTTCACAAAATAAAATCTAAAAGCAAATTTAGGTTGTAAATAATTATTTTTTTTATACAATTACATCATAATATAATTTGAAGTAAATTTTCACAAGTTTGATATTATTACCATTTGCCAGGGAATCATGTCAGGGGCAGTAAGGATTAATCAGACTAATAAAATTTCTTGCTTGCTTTGGGTATACAAGGAAAAATATAGTAAGCGGGAATTTGATGCCAATTAATTTCCATGGTGGTGTCATTATGGATACAGGCATGCCAAATGGCTCTAAACTGCAATCTACCTTCCTTGTCACTTCATTTTCAACAAATCAGTGTTTTTCTTTCTTTCATGACACACATCCTTAAAATTTAAGTTGTACAACATTCTTGCCAGAATTCAATTTTTACCTAGCTGCCAGTTAGGAGCTAACAGAACTGCCACTGAGTAGGCAATTCTCTTCATGTCTTCACTACAATCATCCGCTGCAACTAAAAATGCAACTGCAATAGTATAGTAAAGAACTATCCGTTTGTAGTTATTTCACCTGTGGAGATGATAGCAGAAACATCAATGCATCCTTGATTGCCTCGTTATGATGTCTGAGGTCTGTGGTTTTCCCCACAGCAAGGATCAATAAGAACTTGTGGTCATCGACAACTCCTATCTATCACACTCCCCTGAAGAAAAAAAATCATAAATTTACAAATACGAGAGTATGGTACTATGAAACCAAAAGGAAATGAGTATATTATAGGGGTTCACACCCACATAAACATACAATCCTTTAGACAACTTCTACCTATCACACTCCCACACATAAACATATACAATCCATAGTAAAACACTGGACGAAGCAAATATTTGCATAAAGGCACTCAATATATTTCTTGCAATTTAAATTTTAGTGCCATGCATGCATTTGCAATATTGTAGAAAATACAAGTAAACAGTTCAGTGGACAGAAAAACTTGCGCCCAACAACATATAATAAACAGTGGATAAAAAGTATGCAAAAAAGAAAAGAAAAGAAAAGAAAAGATTTTGATAACAGATTCATATAATGGGTTCGTGGGGGGTTTTGTCTTCAGTAGTCTTCCTATTTCAACAAAGTTAACTAGTCAGTCAATGACTATTCACCTAAAGGTCATTTTCGGAAGTTAACTTTGACTTTGTTGCAAATCTACCAACAAGAGAGCTAAAAACTATAGTGCAGCAAAATTATTCATTTTGCAAACAATTTTCATAGTAGAAGAAATGCAAGTTTGAGCGGTTTTCCACACATTGCATTGGTACAAAAGAGCTCAATTCCTTGGGTTAATCACCTGAGGAAATGACAACAAAAACATCATCAAGGGACCACTTCCTTGGTTCCAATTTCTGTGGAGGGTTGATTTCAGCACGTTCATTATTTGCAAGGCGATATCCGATTACAATTTCACGTCTTTGACGACCTCTAATCATTATGTCGTAAAAACATATCTCTTCCTGGTCAAATAAATAGAATTCAGCTGGTTTGATGCACATCTCGTTCCCCTGCAAAAGCACAACCAGTCATAAACCAGCAAAATGTTTGAATTGCCTTGGATCACATTTTACAGCCTGACAACAACATTGAAATTAAAATGTCCACGAATTACTCATAAGTTCTCTTATGCAGTTTTTATTTTACAGATAATTCTCATCTGAATTAATTGAAGCCTCAACTGTGCTGTATTATAGGCTTCCTGGCTAAATCTCATTAACAGCAACGCTTTTACACAATTCTTGTTTCTCACAAAGATGAAGCAAGTAAAATTTTTCCTACTTGATGACATCCCTTTTATGAATAATGTGAAATATTATATGAAAGTAAGAAACAATGCTTTCGGATGGAATTTGACTACCTCTTCTGCAAACAGTTCTTCAAGAACGCGATTGATTTGCTTGTCTTCAGCCACCATAGCCAACGCCATACTGACAAGTTCATTTGATAGCACATAATCACT